CGTGAGAAACCCTAATGGTTTTGTACAGAACCCTTAAGGTTTCTCACGAAACGTTAATGGTTTTGTACAGAACCCTTAAGGTTTCATATTTTTTCACAGAACCTTTTTTTGCTCTACAGAACCTAAAAAAAGGTTCTGCAAGAGATGGTTCTGCTAGTGGGTACTCCACAGAACCTTCAAAAGGTTCTGTCGAATTTTTTATCCTTTTTTTGAGACTTTGGACACATTTGGAGTCTTTTAGAAATCTACAGAACCTTTTCGAAGGGTTCTGCAAAGCTTCTTTTTTTTTTAGAGAGTAGATCAGAAGCACACACTGTGTAAACCGTATTTGTCGACTGAAGAGCAAGTGGATTAATATTAATAGCTTTCGATATACATTCGGCCCTGATTTTTAATAAACTTTGATGAAGAAAGTCGGATTGACAGAGTGTATCAAGTGTCATGAGAAAGGGTAAATAGGCGAGAACATTATCCAATGATGGCAAAGCATCTTGATCGAGTGCATCATAGAGACGGCAAACTAAATCAATCGATTGTTTCCATTGAGTTTCAGAATCGAATTGCGTTTCGACATGATCAAATCGATTTTTCCACATCGTCTCAAATTTATCGATTGCCGAAGGTTTATCCATAAAATAAGTTTTGCCTGTTTTATCATACGCTAGTTGTCGAAGCTCACCGTCACTATCACGTATCATGTTATTCAATTTATCGCGTTCACTTGCCATAATAGCTGACACTTCCCATGAACGAAATCGACTTGCAACTTGTACTCGCATAAAACGAAATGATCTTTGGCGAACATTTCCACTTACAGTATGCTTTGTTATATTTTGTTCAAGTTTGGATTCAAGTTCTTTTAAAATCTTCTCGTGTACGATTTGAAATGAATCTTTAATACGACTAATACTATTGTGTTTTTCTCTATCGATCAACAGTTGAGCTTGTGCTGGTGATAAAATTTGTTCAAAATCGTTTCGAATATCTTGCCGTATTTTATTATTTTGTACACGTTCAAAAATATCTTTGAAATAAGTTAAATCTGGATATTTTTTTATGATTTGAAGTACACTATTAGCAAATTCAATCCATTTTGTTGGTATAGAAAAACGATCACCAGTGTCACGAATTATTTGAAAAGATGAATCAACAAAAAGTTTGCATAGCTTTTGAACATCTGTTACAAAATCAATATTAGTTAATATTGCGGCACATTCTCCATGCGGATCTAAAAATGGCTTTCGATTGAATGCTGCCGATAAAACATGAAAATTGTTCGGTTCAAGATCAATTAAATTATTGAGACCATTTGCTATCAAATCGTCTCGAATGATCCTGAATTGTTGCTTACAAATGGCTTTGTCCCGATCGGCTCTTTTATTAAGAACAAAATGAACTGTTGGCCGCGTTACACGAGTTTCTCCAAGATAATTGAGCGATTCTATACATACTATTAGCATTTGTTTCAGTGTGTCATGAATTTCACCACTAATATTGACAATAACTAGATGTGATATAGCCAAACAAAAGAGAACCAAACGTTTATCATACTGTTCGTCATACCTCTCGATAGATAATAAACCTTCTGTATCAATTAATAAAATATAATCGTAATCAGGCGGTATAAGATCATGAGTAACTGCTTCCGATCTAATTTTGACTAATGTTCCATAGACACCTACAACATCAAAATGTTTAAAATAATAATCAACAAATTCTCAATGGAAAATTTCTTCTAGTTAAAGACGTTTCTATTCGATTTTTCTAATTAAAATAAACATTTATTTTCCCTTGTGTAAATTTAACTTCTTTTTAAAATATAGTCAAGTAATCGTTACAATCATGTAGACTTACCTCGAGTACATCGTCCTTCACGTACTTCAAATAAAGTTCCAAATAAGAAGTTAAGTAATGTACTTTTACCACTCTGTTGTGGCCCGATTATACTCATAATGAAAATTTTTTTCTTATGAAATAAATGCATTACTTCTATCAAAAATTCGCCTTGCATTTCGAAATTATCACCATCAACGATTTCGAAAGGATTTCCTTCGTCAATATAATTGTGATACGCATCGATAAGTATTCTTCGTTCAGAATTTGATATACTTTTAGAACTGATCATAGCATTTCGCCAATGGATTTCAAGTGATAATTTTTGATAGAACGATGTTGTAGGATCTACACAAGATATCTTCTTATCTCGTTCATGTTTCAATTCAATAGATAATAAATTCAAGTTATTCAATTGATCTTCTGTGTTTTGAACGAGTTGAAAAAAACGTTGAAATGCTTGACCAGTTGCTTGAAAACCAGCTCGTTGCTGCTTTTCTAGTTCTGCACTAATTCGAGACAGTCTACTATGAAGATCATATACCTTTGTATCTTGAAAATCGGCATTGTAAGGATCCATCTTGGCTAGCTTATGTCTTATATCACACATGCGAGTAAATAATGAATACAGTGGATAATCATCTACTTTACCATGAATAAGAATTGGTCGAATGGAATCAATAAAAACTTTGTCTTGTTCAGTATTTCTACATTGAACAGTATCCATAAGCTGTTCGAGATACTGCTTTTGGATATTTTGTTCGTTTGAATGAGAAAATTTGACAGCATTAAGAAAAATTTGTTCGCGTAATTGTTCAATTTTTTCTCTATTGAAATCAGAATACTTGTCGACAACATACGGCAAATAGAAAATCTGACAATTCGAACAAACTGAGCGTACACCTGTTATAGCCGTTTGAATTTCTTCGTCGTCCTCATCGTCAAGGTCACGTATGAGTAATATCATATAGGTTGTATGCGAAAGTAGACGTACAAATTGAATAACATCCGGTGTATTCGAGGTTAGATATGTTGATTGAACATGAATAAGAAAACCATTGAATAATTGACAAATACGTTTGAGAGTCTCTATTGAAAGATCGCCATGAACATCGGCAACATTTACAGAACGTCGTTCAACGAAATGATATCCAAAATCAACGTCAATTGTTTCGTGAAAGTATTTACTGTTCATTGAATGTTCAAAATTCGTTTCGAACAGGGCATTAACAAGAGGTGTTTTACCTTTGCATTTGCCTATACCAAATGAGAGTAGAATAGGTCGACTAAAATCCCAGACATGAATGATACTCGATACAAAACGGTATTTGTTGTTGATTGTGTTGGTAGGTGGTTGAATCATCGGTACTGGATTACGTTTGCTAAGAAGAAATGTTAAACGTCGACGAAGAAATCGATTTGAATTGATCATCATCACATCGACTAACGAACGTTGACTTATACATGGAATATTACTTTCTTTCGAGCATAAACGTTTTAGTGGGTTCAAGAAGTCAGATAGATTTTGTTCACGCTTGAGTAAATACATCATTGGCTGTATGGCGTCGAAAATAAGCAATTTAAAATTTCGATTAAATTCACCTTTGAATTTTCTCATCAGGTCATTAGCGATATCTTTCATCTCCTTATCGGCATATTGGAGTTCGCCTGCATTGACAAGATCTTTCAATGAAAATTGGAATATAGGAAGATCATTGCTATCATCAGTTGTTTCATTTGTTTGGTTTGATGCTATTGTTCCTTGATTAACTGAACAAAGAAAATGCAAGACTTGTATCTACGATTTAGTTCAAAACCTATGATAAATACGAATGTTTTATTTCAACATGCTATCAGCCTCAAATATGAAAGGTAACAGCAATCGCTTTGGCTGTTACCTAGATTCAATAATTGAAGTTCATTTACGCTACATGTTGTTTTAAAAATAGATCTTTTCCATTGGGTTGGTAAGAAATTTTTGTCGTTTTTTTTCGTAACTTCCTAGAACAGTCAAGAAAGTTCTAGAAGTTTCCATACTAAGGGTATATAAAGGGAGTGTAAATATCTTTCGAACAACAATAAAACTATGGATATAGATACTGATCTCGAATTAGAAATGAAAATATCTCGTAGAGAGCTCCGACTGCTTCTGCTTCATGAATTCCGTCTGGATCACAAAACAACAGAAGCAACAAGCAACATATGCCATACGATGGGCAAGGATGCACTCTCCATTCGTACAGCGCAACGTTGGTTCAATGAGTTCAAGAACGGTAACTTCGAACTCGATGATTTACCTCATACTGGAAGACCACTAGAGGTGGATACGGATCTCTTAAAGGAGCTTATCGAAGAAGATCCTAGATTGACTACACGGTGTTTAGCAGAGCGTCTTGGGTGCTCTCATATTACAGTGGAAACGCATCTGCACGAATTAGGCAAAATGTGGAAATATGGAGTTTGGATACCCCATGAGTTATCACCACTTCAGATGCAATATAGGGTTGATGCTTGTATGCAATTGTTGACTTCGCATCGCAACTATCAATGGCTCCGCAATCTTATTACTGGTGATGAGAAGTGGGTGTTGTATATTAACTACCAACGTAGACGCCAGTGGCTGAGCGCTGGTCAAGCAGGTGTACCAACGCCTAAGACTGATCTACACCCAAAGAAGGTGATGCTGAGCGTGTGGTGGGGAGTCAAAGGGATTATTCGTTGGGAAATTCTTCCAGACGGCTGCAACATCACAGCTGATCTCTACTGCCAGCAATTGGATCGGGTTGCAGAAAAACTCAAAGGAAAACAAGATCGAATTTACTTTTTACATGATAATGCCAGACCCCATGTAGCAAAGTCGACACGCCAAAAGTTATTGGAGCTTGGTTGGATCACTGTTACCCATCCACCTTATTCTCCAGACTTAGCTCCTACGGACTACCATCTGTACCGTTCTCTCGACAATCATTTACGTGAGAAAAAGTTCGAAGACGAGAACGACCTCAAAATGGATCTTCTCAATTTCTTCGACCAAAAGTCTCAAGACTTCTACGAACAAGGGATCCTTTCTCTACCAGAGCGTTGGCAACAAGTCATAGACAGTAATGGAGCATACATTGTTGATTGATAATTGTATTCTGATATTTAAAAAATAAAAATAAAATTTTTGAAAAAAACGACAAAAATTTCTTACCAACCCAATAAATAGTATTCCCCTCTTGTTTGTTTTATTTTTTCATGCTCGATGAGGGTGTTAACAATTGCTTTGCAAATTTTGCGACAGATCGAGCAGCTCCAATAAAGAAACATGCATTCAAGGAAATACAATTGTAAACAAGGTTTTTCCTAGGACTCTAGCATACTTTATTGAATTGAACTAAAATTTTTACCATAAGTACATATTATGTATGCCAAAATCAAGGTTAGGGATATGGATGTTGATGTACGTCTCTTTCAAAACATAGTGTAAAGTACCTTACAACATGAGACCATCCTTAAGAAAATAAAAGAATAAACTCACCCAACTTCGAGTTCGTCAGTAGTGTTAATTTGATATTCGTTCGATTTCTACTATCCTCCTCGATTAAAGATATAAGTTTGTTCAAGTCGACGACGACAGCTTTGATCTGAATCGGTAATGAACTTAAATTCAATTCAACAAGACTATTCTACCTTGTTAAAGTTTCGTGCCCATGTTAAATTTTTGTCTTGATCCATACAGAAAACATAGATTGACAAAACTTGAGAAAATTCATGAATACGAGCCACTAACTCTTGACCAAGTCGTCCGCTCACAATGAGAATAAATTGATGTTGATTCAATTGAGACTTAATGTATTGTTGACATTGGTCAATCATTTCGAATGTTTGAAGATTGCTGATGATGGTACGTAGCTCTTTTTGTGCATTCAAATTATCTTCATTTTTATTTACATCAGCATCGAGCCAAATCAAAATAAAACTTTCATTATTGCTATTGCATACAGATACATTATTGTCGCATGGAACATTTGCTGCCATAGCTTCTTCAAAATGATTGCTTCTGATACTCTATTCGTTTTTTTATTCAGTTTATGCTTGATAAAAAATAAATATATCTTAAGAAAAATACTTGGAATTCTTTCTATATATTGAAGTAATCTTCTGGATGTCGTTTTTTTTCTTGAAATAAATTATTTACCTGGCTTATCAATATTTGCGTGTCTAAATTATGTCAATAAGCAAATATAAAAAACGTAACAGAAAAGAATACGCAAAAAATTGTCGGTTTCTCGATTCAAAAATGAATACAAGTGAGAAGTAGCTTCGTCTTAACAATGTTTTACGTCTTGCTTATTCTCACAAGCGTGATGGTATTACACCTAATTGGACAGAGCAGAAGAGAGATAGAGAAAACAGTGACGTGTATTAGTAAGCATCCGAAAGTTTAACTCATAAACTGATCTTGGGTGGGTATAGGTGTGGGAGTGGGGTGTGGGTGTGGGTGTGGGTATGAGTGTGGGTATGGGTGTGGGTGTGGGTATGGGTGTGGGTGGGGGTGTG